TTCAAGCCCAGCCTCTGGGTCCCTCTGTTCGTTTCATGCATGAGTTGGCATTTTACCCTCGCTCCCTAACCCCACCTTGCTTCCAGTGCTGTTCGGCTCCTGGTTCCAGCACGTCAAGGGCTGGCTGGGCCTTAGGGACCGGCTCAACTTCCTCCTCCTGACCTACGAGGAAATGCATCAGGTGAGAGACTAGCACCAGAGGGAGGCGGGGCCAGGGAAATACACCCCCCCCCCCGGTCACACCCCTGGACTCATCCACCCTGGTATCTGGCCTCCTCCCTGTCCCCCCCTGCACTGGATCAGACCCCCGGGCCCATCCACCCCACTCCTTGCCCCCTGGGTCAGAGCCCCAGCCGGGGCCCATCTACCCCGGTATCCCGCCCCCTCCCTGCCCCTAGATCAGCCCCCCCGGGCCCATCTACCCCAGTGTCCCGCCCCCTCCCTGTCCCCAGATCAGCCCCCCGGGCCCATGTACCCCGGTGTCCCGCCCCCTCCCTGCCCCCAGATCAGCCCCCAGGGCCCATCTACTCCGGTATCCCGCCCTGTGCCAGGACCTGCGGGGCAGCGTGGAGCGGATCTGCCAGTTCCTGGGCAAGCCGCTGGACGCGCGGGCGCTGGACGGGGTGGTGGAGAACGCCTCCTTCCAGGCCATGAAGCAGAACAAGATGTGCAACTACAGCCTGGTGCCGGAGAACATCATGGACCAGCGGATCAGCCCCTTCCTGAGAAAAGGTGGGAGAGGGGCGGTGCCCCTGCCGGGCAGCAGGGGGCGCTGTGGGGGGGCTCCCAGCTACCCCAGCCTGGCCTCTCCCAGCAGGGGGCGCTGTGGAGGACTCCCTGACCCCCACCATTCTCTGCTTCCCGCAGGGGTCCCTGGCGACTGGAAGGGGCACTTCACAGTGGCGCAGAACCAGGCGTTTGACCGGCTCTACCGGGAGCAAATGCAGGACGTGGGCGTCCGATTCCCCTGGGACGAGGCCTGAGGGGTCGCCGCCCCCCTCCACCGGACAGCTACAGTCTGTAGGGACCCCTAGATCCGTGTGTGTGGGCACTTGAAGACTCTGCAGAGCCAGGGCTAGAACCCAGGAGTCCTGGCTCTCCCCCCCAACCCCTGCCCTGCTCTAACCACTAGACCCCACCCCCTCTCCCAGGGCGGGGGATAGAACCTAGGAGTCCTGGATTCTGTTCCTGGCCTCTGTCACTTTACAGCCATTTGGGATCATCAGCGTGCGTGCCTCAGTTTCCCTCTCTGTGGGACGGGGCCGAACCCCCCTTCCCGGGCCCCGGATTAATCCTGTAGCGTGTCACTAACAAATAACCCAGCACCAGAGTGTGCGGCTGCTGTGTGGGGAACCAGCCACCAGGGGGCGAAGCGGCTCCAGAAATGGAGGTGGGGGGGCAGGCGTTGGGCCCCGCTTAGGGGACTAGAGTGTGGGGGGGCTGCCTCTGTGCCCCATACAGAGGGTCTGTGCCATGCCTTGCCAGGGGCACCCCTCCCCCAGCCCCATGGCGCCCCCCAGGTACCCACAGAGCATGCCACTCAGCCTCCCCCCCCTACTCCTGCCTCCTCCATCCGGGATCAGAGCCCTGCCCCCTTCCCACCTGCCTCAGCCCCCAGCGCCTGCCCACACCCCTCCCCCTCCCAGCTCTGTAAGGGGTTGGGGGGTAGCTGGGGCTCGGGGTGACAAACCCAACGTCCTTCCATCTCCGGCAGGGGCTGCAGCCTGGAGTCCCCTTCCCCCATCCCTGCCCCCGGATCAGCCCCCTGGGCCCATCTATCCCGGTATCCCGCCTCCTGCCTATCCCCCGGATCAGCCCCCTGGACCCATCTACCCCGGCATCCCGCCCCCTCCCTGTCCCCCGGATCAGCCCCCCCGGCCCATCTACCCCGATACCCCACTGTGACCCTTTCAGGGTTCTCCAGGGGTACAGGGTGAATCAGCAGCGCCAGGCCACCTTGTCTGTGCTCACCAGGGGAAACGCCCAAACCTCCCGGCTGGTGGCTACACAAGCGCCCCACTCCAGGCCCCACCAGCCTGTCCCAGCAGGGGACGCTGTGGTTTGCCTACACCAGCCCTTAGGATCCTGGAGCGGGTCCTTGGGGCAGAGCTAACTTGAGGCTAAATCTATGGAGATAGTTACCCGCCCTCAAACCGCCCCCAGGTCTGCTCTGTCCCTGGGGCACCGGCCCCTCCAGCCTGTCTGTGCCCAGCCCCTCGACTGCTCGGGGCCCGCTGTGCACTCGGATGGGCTGCCTCCGTGGGAGCCGGGCCCCCCTCTTAACCGCCGTCCCCTCAGTCCAGCCCTTTGCTGATCACCCGGCCTGGGGTCATGTCTGCAGCAAAACCAAGAGTCAAACAGAAGCAAGTGTAAGGCTTGGAAGCAGATACAAGAAAAATATAAACCATGGGGTAGGCTCTGCGCTTATTCCTAGTTAATAAGCAGGGTAGGGTCTGCGCTTATTCCCAGTTAATAAGTAGGGTAGGGTTAATAAGTAGGGTAGGGTCTGTTCTTATTCCCAGTTAATAAGCAGGGTATGGTCTGCACTTATTCCCAGTTAATAAGCAGGGTAGGGCCCACACTTGTTCCCAGTTAAACTGGCTAGAACCCATAGTTATTACCAGTTAATAAACAGTCGTGAAGCTGTAGTAATTACCAGGTAATAAACTGGCTAGAGTCATAAACACAGTCTAGAGCCTGAATTTATTCCCAGTTTCCATTCCTGGCCAAGAAGGTGTTTCTCCCCCGTTGGTCTGCCCGGCGCCCGGCCAGCGTTTGTCCCATTGGGAGAGCCGGGATCCACTTCTCAGGAGAGGCTTACCCTGGCAGTGTGTCTTCTCCATAACAGCCCATCTTGGGCCCGCGTCCCCCGCATACGTGGTCCCCCACCTTTTTCTCTCTGGTCGCACAGAGGCGTTTTGTTAATTCACTTCGCCCCAATGGGCCCCCTCCACCCCCACTCAAAGCCTTTCTCTCGGGCACCTTGTCTAGGGCGGCCGCACGTGGCTGGGCCGGGCCCCAGATGTCCTCACTCCTGGGTGAGTTAGCGCCCAGGGCCCCACTCCCCTCCCAGAGCTGGGAGAGAACCCAGGAGTCCTGGCTCCCAGCCCCCCCCCCAACCATTAGACCCCACTCTCCTGCCAGAGCCGAGAAAGAACCCAGGAGTCCTGGCTGGATGGTGGAGGGTCCAGTGCCTGAATCCCAGTGCCAACCCCCCTCATTCTTTGGTGGGGAGCAGCACAAGGGGGTTCTGTTATATTGGGGGAGGTCTTTTCTCAACACCCCCCCCCCATTTTCCTTCTTCTCTTACAGTGGCTGGCACATAGGGCCCCTGGACGCCAGCCAGCAGCCCCACAGCTCCAGCGTCCCCACGGACCATGCTCCAGGACCCCCTCCCGTGGGGCATTCTCCCCTCATTCAGGGAAATCCCCAACCCCAGGAAAGCTGCAGCATTCCACATTTCCCATGGATGGATCACTGGGGGCGGAGGGTTGTGTGGAGATAGTTTGGGGTATGCCCTGCAGGCCCCCTTAATCTAGCCTCTGAGGGGCCATACCCCAAGGTTCCTGGAGCCCTGCACAGACAGATGGCTGCACCCCAAGATTGGGGAGAGAGATCTATACCCCAAGAATTCCATCTAGATGGATTTGTGGGACCCCTTAGCTGTCTGCTCAGCACACCCCAAATCCTTCCCTACCTCCTGGAAGAGGGAGCCCCCTGAGTTGGTCCCAGGCCAAAGGATGGGACCCCAAATTTCACTTGGGGATCAGACACAAGGCCTGTACCCCAAGATCTGCGAAAGGGGAGAATGCTGGGAACCCCTAAACTGTACCCAGAGGCAGTTGGTGCCATTAGGGGGCACCCTGCGCTGCGGATGTAGTGTGGGGGCTCGGGGTGACAGCAGCCCTAACCCAGTCCAGGATCTGGGCTCCCCCAAACGAGTCCCAGCCCCCACATTTGTAAATAGCCCCAGCAGAGTTGGGAGGTCCCTGGGGGGCTGCTGGAATGAGAATCCTGGAGCCCCGGGTCGGCACAGAGTCACGGAGGGGATCAAACCCCCCAATTCGGTTTCTGTGCTGGGTGAGGGGTCCCCATATACCCAGCCCCTGCGCCCCACCCCAGAGGTGCTGCATCCCAGCACCAGGTGAGGGGTCCCCGTGTCCCAGCCCGGAGGCAGCTGGGTAAATAACCCGTGGTGTGTGTGACCGTCACTCGGGGGGGGGGGGAGAAGGGGGGCAGAACAACTACTGCAAAAACCTACATCCCCGTCCCTGCTGGAGCGCAACACGTCGCTCCCACAGAGCACCGGGGGGCGCTGTACCCTGCTCTGACGGAAATCCCTGCACCCCACAGTCACGGCGCTCGGGGAGGGGAGTGGGGCTGGGAGCCAGGACTCCTGGGTTCTCTGCCTGGCTCTGGGAGGGGAGTGGGGTCTAGTGGTTAGAGCTGGGGGGGAAGGGGACTCCTGGGATCAGCAGCTGGCCCTGACTGGGCAGTGAGGTGCTAATGAGTGTCCTGTGGCCAGGTGGGGGGGGGTGCTGCCCCACACACTCTAGTACCCCCAGCGGGGGCAGAGCCCTGCCTCCCCCCCACAGGGCGCGGCCCCTTTAAGAACTCAGCCGACCCGCTCTGCCTTCCCCCCCCCCCGCCGACACGTGCCGCCCCATGTGCTGCCAGCCCCCCAGGCCTCTCCCCCTGCCGCCTCCCCGATTGGCTAAAAGTGGGTCAGGCTCCTCCCACCCTCCGGCTTCCTATTGGCCAAATCTAGGTCAGCGCTCCCCTCCCCCCGCCCATCGCCTCCCCCCCCCATGGCCCGGACACATGACCGGCCCGGGCGCACGAGTCTGGGCCTTGGCAAACATTCCCAGCCCGCCGATTGGCTCGGCCGGAGGCAGCTCGGGGGCAGGCCCCGCCCACCTCTGCCAGCCCCGCCCCCTTTTTCCCAAAGCGGGGAGTCGGGCAAAAAAAAAGAGATTAAAAAAAAAAGACCCATCCAGCAGCCACCGACAGCTGCGAGGCGCTGGTGGAGCCGGGGCCGCTGAGCTGAGATCGGGGGGGGCGCGAACTTCCCAGCAACGCTGCACCCCCAAAACCTTGGGGTGCCCCCACCAGGAGAGCCCGGGGTGCTGGAGGGAGGACGGAATCTCTGGCTCCTGCCCTGCGGACCCCACTTCTCCCCCCGGGCCACTGGGACACTGGCAGGCGTGAGAAGTTTTGTTTGCTGCTGCAGAGAAGTGGGTGCCGGGGCTCTGCCAGGCTAAGGGGGCAGCCGGCGGTTTTGGGGAGTAGGGATTTTTTTTTCAGGGTCCCCACAGCGGGGATCCACCGGAGCTCGTCGCCGGACCAGATCCTTTCTCCGAGGGATCGACTGGGAAGCTCTCCTGGCGCTTGGGATCCCCAGCTCCGGTGGGCACAGCGGGGATCCCCGACGGGCCATGGCCAGGCCAGCGGCCCAGCTGGGCGCCACGGAGCGGCTCCCGAACCCTTTGCTCTCCTCCCCACCGCTGGGGGTGCCCGGGGCCGGCATGGTCAGCCTGAAGAGCCTCCTGCAGGGGCCCATCAAGAGCCCGGAGCGCAGGCCGAAGGATCTGACCACCTGTAAGTGCCCTGGCGGCCGTGCGTCTGTCCGGTCCTGCGCGGGTCTGTCGGGCTGGTGATCGCCATCCCAACGCCACCGGCCAGCCAGCCAGCCCCATACACACCCCTTCCCTGTAGGAATCCCACCATCCATCCATCCCCATAGGAACTCCTCCATCCATCCATCTGTCCATTCATCCATCTGTCCATCCCCATGGGAACTCTGCCATCCATCCATCCATCTCCATAGGAACCCCACCGTCCATCCGTCCATCACCATAGGAACCCCACCATCCATCCGTCCATCCCCATAGGAACCCCACCGTCCATCCATCCATCTATCCATCCCCATGGGAACCCTGCCATCCATCCATCCATCCCCATAGGAACTCCACCGTCCGTCCGTCCATCCATCACCATAGGAACCCCACCATCCATCCATCCCCATGGGAACCCCGCCATCCATCCATCTATCCATCCCCATGGGAACCCCGCCATCCATCCATCTGTCCATCCATTTGTCCATCCCTATAGGAACCCTACCAGTCACCCACCTACCATAGGATCCCCACCATCCATCCGCCTGCTTGTCCATCCATCGATCCCCATAGGACCCCCCCATCAATCCATTCAACTGTCATCCATTCGTCCGACATCCATCCATCCCCATAGGAACCCCCCATCCATCCATTCAACTGTCATCCGTCCAACCATCCGTCCATCCCCATAGGAACCCCGCATCCATCCATCCATCCATCCACCCCCATGCAAACCTTGTCATCTCTCCATCCATGAACCCCGCCATCCATCCATTCCCCTAGTCCCCTCTATCTAATCCACCCCTCCGCAGTCTCTCGCCATACTGCCCTCCCTGCCCGATGTGACGAACTGTGACACCCGCAAACTGCCCAGCGCGCTCATATTGCTGTGGAAATACAGCCCGGAAAGGGCCCTGCGTCCCCCTCTGCAGCCCACCCAGCACGGCTTTCAGCCCTTGTCTGTCTGTCCAGTGCTGCCCTTGTGACAGGCTGTGCCCACCCTCTCCCCCAGCCGGCTGTCATCTGGGGCAGGATTTGCACTCTGGGCTGGAGAGGGGCAGCCGAGAGGGAGGGAAAGGTGTGTGTGGGGGGGGTAATTGTACTGGGCCCCAAGCTCAAGGGGGGCCCCAAAGGTCTGTATAAATGCAGTGAAATGGGCGAGGTGCCCAGACCCCAAATTCCTCTGGGCCGGCCTGGCCATGGGGACCCCTCTGGGCAGCAGCCCTGGCTGCACCTGGGCCCAGGCATGTTGACTCCTGGGCCACCAGGAGCACTAACTTGTGTGTGGGAGAGAGACAGAGGCTGTGTGTGTGTGTGTGTGTCTGTGTGTGTGTGCGGTTTTGTGTACAAGACAGACAGACAGAAATGGAGCGAGTGTGTGTGTATTAATGTGTGTTTGTGACAGACAGAGCGTGCATATTTGTGTGCGAGAGACGGACAGAGGCAGAGTGTGGGTGTATCAGTGTGTATTTGTTTGTATGTGAGAGAGATGGACAGACAGAAACTGTGTATTAATGTGTGGTTGTGAGAGAGACAAGCAGTGTGTGTGAGAGAGAGACAGACAGAGGCAGTGTGTGTATGTGTATTGGTGTGGTTTTGTGAGAGAGAGAGACGGACGGACAGAAGCCGTGTGTGTGTGTGTATTTGTGTGTTTGTGATACACAGGCCCGGTGTATTTGTATTAGAGCCCCAGACAGAGGCAGAGCGTGTGTGTGCGTCTGCGTGTGTACTTGTGTGTGTGTGTATTTGTGGGTTTGCAGGAATGGCCCTGGTCTTCCACCTGCCTGTCTGCTCCCACTGGGAAGTTTAGAAAAGTCCCGAGGCGCTGGGAGAGTCTGGGGGGCAGGGTCTATGCAGGTTCCCCGTCTAATTGCGTGACACACACACACACACACACACAGCTCTAAATCCCCACAGCCAGCACACAGCCGGGACACGGGATGTGACAGGAGGCAGAGAAACGTGCGCGGAGGGTTGTTTTTTATTAGGTTTTTTTTTTTTTTTGGCCTAAGGAAATGTTGGTAAAAAGCTCCAAGCGCCTGAGCCCCTGTGGACCCAGGGCAGGGAGTGGGTTGCGTTTGACAGATGGGCGAGTCCCACATCGGGCCTCTGGGGTCAAGCCGGGGCAGCCTCTGATGCCCTGCTACAGCAGGATCTCGCTAGCCACGGGGTAGCTCCCTGCCATCCCATCCCAACCCAAATTCCACCTCCCGTGGCACATGCTCCCTGAAGAAGGCCCCGGGTTGCTGCTGGTCAGGAGTGAGGGGCACCGGCAGAGCTGCGGGGCGGGTGGGGGAGCCCAGGGCTGGGCTAACAGGGGCTGCGGGTCTGGAGTTAGGGGCACCAGCAAGCTTGTGCAGGGGAGCGCCCCCCCCCAGGGGAAGCAGCCCCTTCCCGCACCTGTGCCGGGGGAGGGGGCCCCTTGGGCAGTGACTCAGCCCTGCTTTCGGGGCGCTGCCCCGCTGGGCACGGGAGAAACCCAGCGCAGGGCGTGACCCAGGGCTGTCACCTGGCTCCCTCCACACGTGGGCCGGGGAGTCAGGCCCCAGGAATGGGGCGTCGCCCGGGCATCCCGCCTGCTCCACCTGCTGCAGCCCCGTGCCAGCCAGCGGGGCAGGGGGAGGGGCAGCCTGAAGTCTAGGCTGGGCGGGGCTGGGAGATGTGGGGTGCCCTCCCGGCCCATAACCCCTTGTCAGCGCTGTCACCATGGGGCGTCCCAGCATCCTTTGCTCCATTCCCCGCTTGTTTCTTCCCAGAACCCTTTGCACCATTCCTCAGTCTTCTTGGGACATCCCAGAACCCTTTGCACTGCTCCCCACTCTTCTTGGGGCATCTCAGAATGCTTTGCGCCCTGATTCCCTTCCCACCTTGACACCAGGCCTGGGGGGGGGGTTGCTTTTGAAGCTGGAGGCTAAAGCCAGACACACCAAACCCCAGGTGTTTTGGGGGGACAGGGGAGTCGGGGATCCCAGGGGGATTTGTGATGCAGGCAGCTGACCATGAGAACCCAGGACTCCTGGGTTCTCTCCCTGGCTCTGGGAGGGGAGTGGGGGCGAGTGGTGGGGGGGGGGGGGGGGAAGCTTGGAGCCAGAACTCCTGGGTTCTCTCCCTGGGTGACTTTGCAGGTGCTGGTGCAGCAGTGCTCTGTGTGGGAAGCAGAATGGAAAGCCAAAGCAGGGTGCTCCCCTCCCCTGGGTGCTGACCGATCCCCCCGCCAGGCTGGAACCCGCAGCCGCTGGGCGGGGGGCCCCGCATGGGGGGGGGCGGGGTTAGAGCCTGAGCCGCGCACGCTGCAGTGAGCAGCCGAGCCGGGGTCGCCCGAGGTGAGCCAGGCCTCACGTGTGCAGGGAGCGGGCGGGCGGCACGTGTGTGGAGCCAGCCAGGCTGCGGCTGAGGCTGGGGAGCAGCTGGGGCCCAGGGTCGGGGCAGTGTCTGGCTGGCACCGTGCAGGCCCTGACTGTCCAACCCCCCCCCCCATCTGTCCATCCGTCCCCACACACCCCCGTCTCTCCCCACATCCCCCCTCTCTCTATCTCAGTCTCCCTCGTCCTCTCTCTGTACCATTATCTCTCGCTCCTTGAGTTCAAAACACCCCCTGCCCCCCCGGCTAGGCCGTGCCCCCCCTCCCCTGCAATGTCTCGGTGCTCTGGGGGGGCTGCAGGGCTGCTCCCCATCGCTGCCATGCTCAAGGCGGGGGGGCCTGGCTGCGGTCCAGTCAGTTTCTCTTCCTGGGTCTCTGGCGAACACACCCAGCCTGGGATTCGTGCACACCTCCCCCTGCCCCCACTTGTGCATGCAAATCCACCCACTTGTGCACTTACTGGGGCACACACCTCCACACACGTGTGCATACAAACCCACCCTCTTGTGCACACATTTGTGCATGCACCCCCACCCCCGTGTGCACACACTCACGCACGCACAACTACAGGGCCGCACTTGCGGCCCCCGTTCCCTGGCGCTCCCCTGCCCCTGGCCACACCCAGCTGCTTGCTCCCGCATTCCTGGGTGCGGTGCCGCGCAGGGCCTGCCGCTCACACCCCCAGCACACCCCCCTCACGTGCGCCCGCTTGTGCTCTCCCCCCTGTGTGCAGCCAGCAAGCTGTGGAGGATCGCACTGCCAGCGCCCCACGTGAGCACAGGCCGGCTGCCACTGGGAGCCGACACACGGTCGCTTGGGAACGCGCCCGCGAAATCCCGCAGCTCCCACACTCACACACCACTCACGCGGATTTGAACGCCCTGTGGACTCCCACAGCAGGGCCTTGGGCAGCCGCACAAAGTGCAGGGCTCATCTCTGCCAGCAGGGACACACACTCCCAGCCCCCGCCTCCCCTCAGCTCTAACCACTAGACCCCACTCCCCTCCCAGAGCCAGGGAGAGAACCCAGGCATCCTGGCTCCCAGCCCCCCCAGCTCTAACCACTAGTCCCCATTCCCTTCCCAGAGCCTGGGATGGAACCCAGGCGTCCTGACCCTGCTCTCTCCCCCTCCAGGCCTGGCCAAGGAGAAGGAGCGGAAGATGGAGGAGGAGCTGGGGGGCGCTCGGGCGGGACAGTGCGCCTACCTGGGCTCCCTGCTGTGGGAGCGGACCCTGCCCTACAGTGAGATCGAGTACGTGGACCTGGACGAGTTTCTGCTGGAGAACGGGCTCCCCCCCAGCCCAGCCCAGCCGCCCTTCTCCCCGGCCAGCCAGGCCACCAGCTCGCCCTCCAGTGGCATCGCCGTGGACCTCAGCCGCCCGGCCTCCTGCACCTCCTCCGCCTGCTCCTCGCCCGCCGAGTGCCCGAGCAGCAGCGATGGGGACCAGTGCTGCACCACAGCAGGTAGCCGGGACCGGGGGGGCAGTGGGGCCAGAGGGCACCAGTAGGGAGCAGGGCTGAGGGTGGTGGCAGGGAGGTGAGGCTGTGGGGCAGCAGTGCCCAGGGGAGCTAGGGTGCCCCACAGCCTGGGGGGCTGTGTCAGGGGCTGGGGTCTCTGCTGAGTCACTGCCTCTCAGTCCCTGCCCCCCAGCACCAGGACACGTGGAGGGGGTAGTCCCCTGGGCCCGCCCCACTCACAGCCCCACAAGCCTCCCAGGCAG